ATTTCCAGTACCCAGAATAAATACGCACTATTCCATCCCACATCAGATCTGCCATCACCGCCCTGTGATCAGAAAACCCCACTTCGAAGGGTCTCACCCTCGCCACATCTATGCCCTGCGTAACATTGGTTCTGTCCAATCGCACCTCATATCCCCTATGGACGAACGTATGCTCCACTAGGTATCCCCCCCACCACATCGACAATCCCAACATCCTGCAATACATCCCTCAGAACACTCAACACACAACCTGCCCCTCTCGGTTCTGCATCACCACTCCGTATCACACAATTCCAATCACCTCCTATTACTGTTATAGCAGGCAAACCTCTCAAGTGATACTGCAATACCTCCCTGACAAAATCTACTTTTGTTAGGTAAGACACATATGCAACAGTTAGGTATCTTTATTTCGAAACGTTTCGCCTACACAGTAGGCTTCTTCAGTCGAGTACAGAAAAGTTGATAGAAGCAGAAGATACTTGAAGACGATGTAATCAGTCCATCACCCTTAAAGTTTTGAGGTGGTCAGTCCCTCAGTCTGGAGAAGAGCATTGTTCCGTTGTCTGAAACAATATGAAGTTGAAGTGACAGAATGGGGCTTTATATAGTGCCAGGAGGTGAGACGTAGGTTGCTTTGGGAGGGCAGGTCCCTCTCAAACCCAGCCGTTCTCACTAGTAGAGGTTGTTGAAGTTGATGGTCTGTACCAAGATACCCTTGTGTTGCAGTGTCTGACAGAATGAACATTAAAATGGTATAAAATACCGGTATTTTATACCATTTTAATGTTCATTCTGTCAGACACTGCAACACAAGGGTATCTTGGTACAGACCATCAACTTCAACAACCTCTACTAGTGAGAACGGCTGGGTTTGAGAGGGACCTGCCCTCCCAAAGCAACCTACGTCTCACCTCCTGGCACTATATAAAGCCCCATTCTGTCACTTCAACTTCATATTGTTTCAGACAACGGAACAATGCTCTTCTCCAGACTGAGGGACTGACCACCTCAAAACTTTAAGGGTGATGGACTGATTACATCGTCTTCAAGTATCTTCTGCTTCTATCAACTTTTCTGTACTCGACTGAAGAAGCCTACTGTGTAGGCGAAACGTTTCGAAATAAAGATACCTAACTGTTGCATATGTGTCTTACCTAACAATCTGTAGGTATTTTATACCATTTTAATGTTCAAAATCTACTTTTACCCTGGTATTGCTAGTTGCCGGCATGTAAACACCTACGAAACTAGCCCTACTCTCCCCAGACACCATCCACCCTCACTACCCTCCCACCTCCCCCCTCTTAACAACCCGTGACATGCAATGGGCTGGTCTCCTTTACCGCCACTGCTACCCCACCCTTCAATTGCAAACCACTGCTAACATATGTCTGATATCCTTTCAACCTCAATTCACATCCAGCCCTGTGATTATGCTCCTGCAAAAAACAAATGATATCAAACCTCTGTAAAAACCACACCAACCAAACTTTCTTGACCTCTGTCTTAAGGCCATTAACATTAAGTATGACACATCTGAATGCTATAGAAGGGGTGGCTTTCCCCTATGCCGCTGGGGTTTACTCACTGCACTTTTCACATTACGTGTACCTGCTTTTTCACTCGTTTTTTTCCTGTGCACTCATCCCCCCCTCCCTCTCCCACTGTGCAACTCAGTCGTACCTCTACCACTATGAGCCATCGGCTCCACCACGGCTGCCCACGATTTCTTCCCCGGCCTCTGCCCCGAGGTGATGACCTCATCTATCTCTGACGCCCTTGCAGTCCTTTTCCTAGAACTTCCGCTTACACACACATATCAACATCAGGCGAATCCTCCTGGTGTACCTCCACATCCACCACACACTCCAGTCCTTCCTTACTCAAGGTTTTCTCCGTGTTTTGTTGTCCCTCCAGTGCTCTGTCCTCACATAAACTCAAGACGCCTTCTGCACAGGACTCCGCCCCATCCAAAAAATTCTTGAGCACATCCGCCAATAAACCATCCCGGGTCGAAGCGTCCTGGACTAAAGATTCCTCAGGCGTCACCTTCGTCTCCCCCGACGCCACTGGGAGAGTGACACATGTCTCTGCCGCCGCCTCCTCCCTTTCGACCTCCTCGCTCCTGGGGTCAGTCCTCCGTCCTCCCGAAGCACCCGACTCAGGCACCAAGTCGCACGGCTGCTGAATCACAGATGAAGGCCCCGGAACTCGAGGAGCCTGCCTCCAAGGACACTGGGCTGCCATGTGCTCATAGGAGCTACACAAACGACATGTTTTCCTCTGACCAGCATAATACACAAAAACCTGTGTCCTATAACCGGCCAACATAACGTAGGACGGTACAGGCCTTGTTAAAGACATTTTGAGGGAGTAAGAACCCTCCGGCATCCCTTCATACAAACCATCCCTCCACACTCCCATGGTTGCTGTATGCACTGTCTCGTAACTGCTGAAAAACTCCTGTAGACTATACGCCGTCGCCTCGAATGGTACATTTCATATCTTCACCCATGTGAAGTACTTAGAGACGTCATGTGAAACGACATCCACCGCTGAATTAATACTCCTGCGTTGTTCCTGGTAACTCGACGATTCTTGTGTAGAAGCCGGCTCGTACAAATTTCACGAAGATTCTTGTCAATCAATTCAGAGTGACGCCATACAATTCCTCATTGGGAATACCATATGCATCCCCTATGGGCCACGAACCAGCTCAATGCAGACTGTGTTTATCCTCCGTCCCGTACGTTCCGCCATCTTGGTATCCAAGTACTCAAGTCACCACCAGGTGTCAGAATGAGGTAGTCTCGGAAAGCGTCCTCTCGCCCCGCAGGTTGAGAGAAGAATTAGTGTATACTGTTAGGGAAGGCGGTGTATGCTGTTAGGGAAGGCGGTGTATGCTGTTAGGGAAGGGGTGTATGTTGTTAGAGAAGGGAGTGTATGCTGTTAGAGAAGGTGTATGCTGTCAAGCAAGGTGGTGTATGCTGTTAGAGAAGGGGGTGTATGCTGTTAGGGAAGGGGTGTATGCTGTTAGAGAAGGGAGTGTAAGCTGTTAGGAAAGAGAGTGTAAGCTGTTAGGGAAGGGAGTGTAAGCTGTTAGGGAAGGGAGTGTAAGCTGTTAGGAAAGGGAGTGTAAGCTGTTAGGGAAGGGAGTGTAAACTGTTAAGGAAGGGAGTGTAAGCTGTTAGGGAAGAGAGTGTAGGCTGTTAGGGAAGGGGTGTATGCTGTTAGAGAAGGGAGTGTAAGCTGTTAGGGAAGAGAGTGTAAGCTGTTAGGGAAGGGAGTGTAAGCTGTTAAGGAAGGGAGTGTAAGCTGTTAGGGAAGAGAGTGTAAGCTGTTAGGGAAAGGAGTGTAAAATGTTAGGGAAGGGAGTGTAAGCTGTTAGGGAAGGGAGTGTAAGCTGTTATGGAAGCGAAGGCAGGTACGGAAACGACAAGTGAAAGTGTGAGAATGGGAACGTGTGCATAAAATCCACGGAATGGGTGGGAGTTGAACCCACGCAAAGTCCTAAAACTAGCCGGCCAGTGCATTAACCACTGGACCTGTGAGTTCACCTCTCACCCGTTCCATGATTTTGTTTTTCAGTCGTGTTATTACGATTCCGTGAGTCAAACTTGATCATGTTTAACTCGCCAAGATCTGCTTGCCGAGGTCGAGACGCAGCTCCTGACCCCACTTACGTCTATTTGATTCTAACCTTCTGGGTTTTATCATACATGTTCTTTAAGCTCTAGATAGATGAATTCTCCAGAGGTCTGGTCACAGACCGGGCCGTGGGGGCGTTGACCCCCCGAAATCCTCTCCCGGTATACTCCAGGTATACTACCCCCCCATGAGCTCACTCCACTTCCGTATCACCCTGACACTAAAGATATACTTCCTGACATTCCTGTGAATCCATTGTATCTGTTTCCTCAGTTTCCAGTTCTCTCCTTTCGCACCGCCTCTCTTTCTCACTTTTATTCTTAGTGATCTTATATCTCCTTCCTCTTAGATTTTTTTTCTTTTCTTGGTATCTTATTTATTTTTTTTTATTTTGTTTAATCTGTCAAAAACAATAACTCATGTTGTCTAGCAGCAATTTTCCCTCTGTATTATAGAATTATTAGTAATCTCCAAACATTTAAAAACGAATGTTTGTCGTAGCAGTTAAAAGTCTGACACACATTGATTAAAAGTCTTACACATACTGATTGAATGTCTGACAAATATTGATTAAAAATATGACACGTGTTGATTAAAAGTCTGATATATATTCATTAAAAGTCTGACATATTGATTAAAAGTCTGAAACTGAACCCTTGATGTACAATTAAACATAACATAAAGGAGGAACACTGCAACACTCCTACTGGCCCATACTTGGTAAGTGTTTCTCAAACCCAAACCCACTAACAAGAATATATTCTCAACCCATTTTCAATGTTACCTAAACAATAAGCTTAGATAACCCTCTTAACTCATGTGTAAGTTCCACTCAAATCCAATCCCTCTCAGTTATGTATTTATCTAACCTAAATTTGAAGCTACCAAAGGTTTTAGCCTCAAAGACCCTACTAGGCAGTGTGTTCCTCTCGTCAACTAATCCACTTCCAAACCAATACAATCCTACATTAGGATTCCTTGTGCTTGTAGCTCTGCCAGAACACATTTGAGCTGTACCTAGCCAAAGATTCCAACATTGTTAGGTTCTACTATACAGCTGGCCTCTGATTCATCTAGAGACTGGTGCCACCTAGTCGAGTGATTTATCCAGTGACTGGTACCACCTTGTACAGTAATTCATCCAGTGGTAGGTACCACCTTGACTTAGTATAGAGATTTAACAGTTTATACAGCAACCAGTCGTTTTTTGAACATTACTGACACACACATTATCAATATACAATAACAAAAATTCACTGATTAGAATATTTTCTTGAGAGTAGTAATGTTAACCTGTAAGTGTTGTTTGTTTTCCTCGTCCAACAACTGAACCTTCTTCCCTCCGGCAGCCTGGGCTAGCAAGTTTATCTTCTGGGCCGGTGGTCACCGCATCGGGTCAAGTCCCTGGAAGTGGACCAACGGTAGGCAGATCAACCTCAAGTCTCACGTGTAAGTATCAGAGTCTGGTACTGAAGATGATGATAATAATAATCATAATATTATTATTATTAACTATAATAATAATTTTTTTATTTTTTTTATTATCACACTGGCCGATTCCCACCAAGGCAGGGTGGCCCGAAAAAGAAAAACTCTCACCATCATTCACTCCATCACTGTCTTGCCAGAAGGGTGCTTTACACTACAGTTTTTAAACTGCAACATTAACACCCCTCCTTCAGAGTGCAGGCACTGTACTTCCCATCTCCAGGACTCAAGTCCGGCCTGCCGGTTTCCCTGAACCCCTTCATAAATGTTACTTTGCTCACACTCCAACAGCACGTCAAGTATTAAAAACCATTTGTCTCCATTCACTCCTATCAAACACGCTCACGCATGCCTGCTGGAAGTCCAAGCCCCTCGCACACAAAACCTCCTTTACCCCCTCCCTCCAACCTTTCCTAGGCCGACCCCTACCCTGCCTTCCTTCCACTACAGACTGATACACTCTTGAAGTTATTCTGTTTCGCTCCATTCTCTCCACATGTCCGAACCACCTCAACAACCCTTCCTCAGCCCTCTGGACAATAGTTTTGGTAATCCCGCACCTCCTCCTAACTTCCAAACTACGAATTCTCTGCATTATATTCACACCACACATTGCTCTCAGACATGACATCCCCACTGCTTCCAGCCTTCTCCTCGCTGCAACATTCATCACCCATGCTTCACACCCATATAAGAGCGTTGGTAAAACTATACTCTCATACATTCCCCTCTTTGCCTCCAAGGACAAAGTTCTTTGTCTCCACAGACTCCTAAGTGCACCACTCACCCTTTTCCCCTCATCAATTCTATGATTCACCTCATCTTTCATAGACCCACCTGCTGACACGTCCACTCCCAAATATCTGAATACATTCACCTCCTCCATACTCTCTCCCTCCAATCTGATATCCAATCTTTCATCACCTAATCTTTTTGTTATCCTCATAACCTTACTCTTTCCTGTATTCACTTTCAATTTTCTTCTTTTGCACACCCTACCAAATTCATCCACCAATCTCTGCAACTTCTCTTCAGAATCTCCCAAGAGCACAGTGTCATCAGCAAAGAGCAACTGTGACAACTCCCACCTTATGTGTGATACTTTATCTTTTAACTCCACGCCTCTTGCCAAGACCCTCGCATTTACTTCTCTTACAACCCATCTATAAATATATTAAACAACCACGGTGACATCACACATCCTTGTCTAAGGCCTACTTTTACTGGGAAATAATTTCCCTCTTTCCTACATACTCTAACTTGAGCCTCACTATCCTCGTAAAAACTCTTCACTGCTTTCAGTAACCTACCTCCTACACCATACACCTGCAACATCTGCCACATTGCCCCCCTATCCACCCTGTCATACGCCTTTTCCAAATCCATAAATGCCACAAAGACCTCTTTAGCCTTATCTAAATACTGTTCACTAATATGTTTCACTGTAAACACCTGGTCCACACACCCCCTACCTTTCCTAAAGCCTCCTTGTTCATCTGCTATCCTATTCTCCGTCTTACTCTTAATTCTTTCAATAATAACTCTACCATACACTTTGCCAGGTATACTCCACAGACTTATCCCCCTATAATTTTTGCACTCTCTTTTATCCCCTTTGCCTTTATACAAAGGAACTATGCATGCTCTCTGCCAATCCCTAGGTACCTTACCCTCTTCCATATATTTATTAAATAATTGCACCAACCACTCCAAAACTATATGCCCACCTGCTTTTAACATTTCTATCTTTATCCCATCAATCCCGGCTGCCTTACCCCCTTTCATTTTACCTACTGCCTCACGAACTTCCCCCACACTCACAACTGGCTCTTCCTCACTCCAACAAGATGTTGTTCCTCCTTGCCCTATACACGAAATCACAGCTTCCCTATCTTCATCAACATTTAACAATTCCTCAAAATATTCCCTCCATCTTCCCAATACCTCTAACTCTCCATTTAATAACTCTCCTCTCCTGTTTTTAACTGACAAATCCATTTGTTCTCTAGGCTTTCTAAACTTGTTAATCTCACTCCAAAACTTTTTCTTATTTTCAACAAAATTTGTTGATAACATCTCACCCACTCTCTCATTTGCTCTCTTTTTACATTGCTTCACCACTCTCTTAACCTCTCTCTTTTTCTCCATATACTCTTCCCTCCTTGCATCACTTCTCCTTTGTAAAAACTTCTCATATACTAACTTTTTCTCCCTTACTACTCTCTTCACATCATCATTCCACCAATCGCTCCTCTTCCCTCCCGCACCCACTTTCCTGTAACCACAAACTTCTGCTGAACACTCTAACACTACATTTTTAAACCTACCCCATACCTCTTCGACCCCATTGCCTATGCTCTCATTAGCCCATCTATCCTCCAATAGCTGTTTATATCTTACCCTAACTGCCTCCTCTTTTAGTTTAAAAATCTTCACCTCTCTCTTCCCTGATGCTTCTATTCTCCTTGTATCCCATCTACCTTTTACTCTCAGTGTAGCTACAACTAGAAAGTGATCTGATATATCTGTGGCCCCTCTATAAACATGTACATCCTGAAGTCTACTCAACAGTCTTTTATCTACCAATACATAATCCAACAAACTACTGTCATTTCGCCCTACATCATATCATGTATACTTATTTATCCTCTTTTTCTTAAAATATGTATTACTTATAACTAAACCCCTTTCTATACAAAGTTCAATCAAAGGGCTCCCATTATCATTTACATTATCATTTACTATAATAATAATGTAACGAAAGTAACAAAACAAATAATGAAATAAAAAAATTAATATAAATTTCTCATTGTATAGCACAACTAGACATCAGTACATCACTTTACAACATAAACATCAAAGCATCGATAGAAACTAAATTAACCTAAATATATCACTGTAAAACATTAATTCATCTTTCGTCTCATGTACGGGCGCTTCAGGTGGACTCCCAGCAGACCAGATAAGACAACAGAGAACCGCTACACAATGGTCGTCCCCGTCGACGAGGTCTACAATAGATTTTACCTGCAGGACTACAGGGAAGACCAGGTTGCCCCGGCTTTTATCTGTGAGAAGGGAGAGAGCTAGAGAATGAGGGAGGGGAAGGAAACGAAGGGTGAAGGAGAAAGAGAAAGTAAGGGGTGAGGAATAATGAATGAGGTGGTAGGGGATAATGTATTACTGAAGGGATTTTTCACTAGATGTGAGGTACTGTATTACTCTCTCAATCTTATCTGCCCAAGTTGAGAGGGGAAACGAATACAAAACATGAAAAGAATTTCCACTAAAAAGAAGCCAGCAGCCGTCCTCTCCCCAAAATTAATGAGAACCAAAACTCATTAGAATTACCTAACAATCGAAACTATCACGCTGGAGTCATCAGGATACCCAGGAGGGAAGGTAAACACAGGACTGAGGATATCTCTACAATGTCTACTTTTATGAAACCGGTTCGGGGAACCTAGTCCCCTGGGGATGGGGGGGAGGGGGGGGAAGGGGAAGAATTAGCGTAAAGAGTTGGGCGCTAAAAACATTAGAGAAAACAAGGTACTCAGTGCATCGTTTCTTGTTGTTGCAGCGCGTTGTTACTGTCTTCCAGAGAAGTAATGCTTCGTGAGACAGAGAGAAAGAGAAATTATAAAATCTTATATTACAATAGTCACTTTAGTTTTCCGCTGTCAGAATTTGGTTTGGTTCTTTGAACTGTATGTCATTTATCCCTGTTCTTAATCCATGCCAGCGTACCACAGGGATATATGCTTGGTTCTTTGCTTAAAAGGTATTCATGCTACAGAAGAAAGTGCTCAGAAATTTGGTCAGGTGAGACGTATAAGTCTCCGTAAACATGGAACTCGTGTTAAGTGCTTCACCTAGCATACTAAATAGGTGTCACTCAGCTATGAGAGTAACGTGGTCTAAATAAAGGTTTACTCACTTAAACGTGTCTTTGTACTACTGTACAGTAAATAAGTCCTTGTTGTGGGTGGCATCCTGGGCTTGTCTCCTTACACCTCTTGTCAATGCTTACGACATACTTGGGTGTCAAAAATCTTACACTTACTACCCAGGTTCACCTTGCAGTAAATAGGTACCTGACTGTTAGTTTCTTTACACTTGCTATTCATGTGCACCTCGCAGCTAATTGGGTCACGAATATTAGTCAGCTGTTGTGGGTGACGTCTTGGAGAGGGTATGGAAGAGCACCCTGGGGACGGGCATTAACCCGTAAACGGTCCAAACGTATACATACCTTTTTTCAACATTTGAAAGTATGTAAAAAAAGTAGATCTTCTTTTTGTTTTTTTACATTTGAAAATGTGTAAAAAAACTTTGATCTACTTTTTTTTGTTATATTTGAAAATATGTAAAAAAAAAAAAAAACGTAGATCTACTTTTGTAGCTCTACACATGTGAACGTAGATCTGCCTGGACCGTTTACGGGTTAATTAAAATCAGCTGAAGTGGAAAAACAGTTCATATCCTTATTTTTTTGAGCCGAGGAATGATTACATTTTATAACCAGCAAATGAGCTGAAATAAGATAACATCTGTTAGCTTGAAAGCGAATTAATCGGTATATGATATAAACAAACAGCTATTTGACTGTGAATGAGCTGAGCTTAGCAGCTCCTGGCTTCTAAACGAGCTGAGCTTAGATAACAGCTGTTAGCTTCTAAACGAGCTGACGTTAGAAAACACCTCTTAGCTTCTAAACGAGCTGAGCTTACATGACAGCTCTTAGCTTTAAAACGAGCTGAGCTTAGATAACAGCTCATAGCTTCGAAACAAGCTGAGAAAGATAACAGCTCTTAACTCAAAACGAACTGAGCTTAGATAACAGCTCTCAACTCAAAACGAACTGAGCTTTGATAACAGTTATTAGCTTCTAAACGAGCTGAGGTTAGATAACAGCTCCTAGTTCTAAACGAGCTGAGATTACATAACAGCTCTTAGCCTCTAAACGAACTGAGCTTAGATAACTCTTACCATCTAAATAAGTTGAGCTTAGGTAACAGCTCTTAGCTTCTAAACCAGATGAGGTTTGATAACGGCTCTTCTCGTCTAAACGAGGTGAGCCTAGATAACAGATCTTAGCTTCTGACCGAGCTGGGCTTAGGTAACAGCTCTTAGCTTCTAATCGAGTTCACCTTGGATAACAGTTCTTAGCTTCTAAAAATGTTGAGGTTAGATAACAACTATTAGCTTCTGAACGAGCTGAGCTTTAACAGCTCTTAGCTCCTAAACGAGCTCAGCTTAGATAACAGCTGTTAGCTTCTAAACGAGCTCAGCTTAGATAACAGCTCTTAGCTTCTAAACGAGCTAAGGTTTGATAACAGCTCTTAGCTTCTGTACGAGCTGACCTTAGGTAACAGCTCTTATTTCCTAAACGAGCTGAGTTTAGATAACAGCTGTTAGCTTCCGAACGAGCTGAGCTTTGATAACAGCATTTAGCTTCTAAACAACCTGAGCTTAGATAGTAGGTCTTACATTATAAACGAGCTGACCTTAATTAACAGCTCTTACTTTCTAAACAACCTAAAGCTGCATAACAGCTTGTAGCTTCTAAATGAGTTGAAGTCAGGTAACAGCTCTTTGTTTCTGCACGAGCTGAGCTTAGATAACAGCTCTTACCTTCTAAACAAGATGAGCTTAGATAACAGCTCTTACCTTCTAAACGACTTGAAATCAGATAATAGTTCTTACCTTCTAGACGAGTTGAGCTTAGATAACAGCTCTTAGCTTTTAAGCGATCAAAGCTTAGATAACTCTTAGCTTTTAAGCGAGCTGAGCTTAGATAATAGCTCTTACCTTATAAACAATCTGTAGTTAGACAACAGCTTTTACCTTCTAAACAAGTTGAGCTTAGGTAACAGCTCTTAGCTTCTAAACGAGCTGAGATTAGATAGCTCAGACCTTAACAAACTGAGCTTAGATAACAGCTCTTGCCTTAACTTGAGCTATTACCGTCTAAACGACGTGAAGTTAGAAAACAGCTCTTATCTTCTAAACGAGCTGAGCCTGGATAACAGCTTATAGCTTGTAAACGAGCTCAGCTTAGCTCTTAGCTTCTAAACATGCAGAGGTTAGATAACAGCTCTTAGCTTCTGAACGAGATGATCTTAGATAAAAGCTCTTGGCTCCTAAACGAGCTGAGCTTAGATAACAGCTCTTACCTTCTGAACAAAGTGAAGTTAGATAATAGCTTTTATACTTCTAGACGAGTTGAGCTTAGGTAACAGCTCTTACCTTCTATACGAGCTGAGCTTAGATAACAGCTCTTATTTTCTATACGAGCTGAGCTTAGATAACAGCTCTTACCTTCTAAACGAGCTGAGTTTAGATAATAGCTCTTAGTTTCTAAGCGAACAGAGCTTAGATAACTCTTAGGTTCTAAACGAGCTGAGCTTATAAGACAGCTCTTAGCATCTAAACAAGCTGAGCTTAGATAACTGCTCTTAGCTCCTAAACGAACTGAGCTTAGATAACAGCTCTTGCCTTCTAAACGAACTGAGCTAAAAAATACAGCTCTTACCTTTTAAATCTGAAGTTAGATAACAGGTCTTACCTTCTAAACAAGCTGAGCTTAGGTAACAGTTCTTAGCTTCTAAACGAGCTGAGCTTAGGTAGCAGCTCTTAGCTTCTATACATGCAGAGATTAGATAACCGCTCGCAACTTCTGAACGAGCTGAGCTTAGGTAACAGCTGTTAGCTTCTAAATAAGTTGAGCTTAGATAACAGCTCTTACCTTCTAAACAAACTGAGCATAGCTAGATAACAGCTCTTACCTTCTGAACAACGTGAAGTTAGGTAACAAGTTTTACCTTCTAAAGGAGTTGAGCTTAGGTAACAGCTCATTGCTTCTAAACGAGCTGAGCTTAAATAACAGCTGTTACCTTTTAAACGAGCTGAAATTAGATAATGGCTCTTACTTTCCTCACGATCTGAACTTAGATAACAGCTGTTAACTTCTAAACGAGTTGAGCTTAAGTAACTGCTCTTAGCTTCTAAACGAGCTGAACTTAGATAAAAGCTCTTATCTTCTAAATGATTTGCGCTTAAATAACAGATCTTACCTTCTAAACGAGTTGAGCTTATGTAACAGCTCTTGCCTTCTAAACGAGCTGAAGTTAGATAACAGCTCTTACCTTTTGAAGGAGTGAGTTGAGGTTAGATAACAGCTCCTACCTTCTAAAGGAGCTGAAGTTAGATAACAGCTTTTACCTTTTATTTGATATGTGGCAAGGCAATAGCGTTTATCTTGTAATTGAAATAAAGCGGGATAACAGCTGTTATTCCGTAAATGAAGAAAGGATAACAGTTCACAGCCTATACACGAACTGACACAAAATATCACCTCTCTCTATGACCTGAGACAGATATCCATATTTTGGTTAGCTGCTTTCAGGAACATCTAGGGAGAATCCACAAAGTTTTTTTTCCGATTTCCATAAATCTATTGCAACAATAAAGCAAAATTTATTTCAAAAATTTACTAATATTGATGCAACAATATAGCCAGATTTTTGTAACAATATAGCAAAATTTATTGGAACAATATAAAAATTTTCTGCAACAATATAGCAAAATTTATTGCATCCATACAGCAAAGTTTATTGCAACAATGTAACAAATTTTATTGCAACACAGCACTTTCATACGTGCCGTTCACTGCATACGATAGTGTAATTCATAGCAACGTTCCTGGCAGATTAGACGTGATAACCCCAACAGAACACCATCGAGCCATTGATATCGCTCCTGCACATTTCTTGTGAGGAGGGTTGAATTGGATATATTATTTTCCCGACTGCCAATAGCTGAGTGTTATCAATCTATTGCCACGAGTATAAATTAAAATTTCTGACCTAACAAGTCTTGTTTATCATCCTCACCATGGAAGAAAAGTTATATACATTATTGAAAGTGTCAGTCTCGATGTTATTATAGCAGCCAGCAACACCAAAATTCAGTAACTATTGTAATTAAGCGTATTTAAAGGAAAGTAAAAAAAATTAGAGTGTTTATGACTTCAATGGTAATTTCAGAGTTCCAGAACGTGTAGTAAACACCAATAGGTCTTGCAATGTGCAGTAAACAGCAATGGATCTTGCAATTTGCGCTAAACACCAGTGACTCTTGCAAAATACACTTAACAACATTGGGTCTTGCAACATTCACTAAACACAAATGGTTCTTGCAACGTTGTTTAGGAACACGCACAAGTAAATAAGGGAAAAATAAATTGTAGGTAAATTATTATATAAAAATCTGAGTATGTAGAGAGAGATAGTTATCTAATGTTAATCTTATTTTCAACACTTTACATTTGATTATGTAGTTCATAAGTTTTTTATATACCAAGTGTCATGACTAAGCGTCTCACACCAGGAAAAATAAGCACTGCAAAACATACCAGAGAGAGTGAGTTCTGAATATGAACACTTAAGAGATGTGGTGGTAGGAATATCAACGGGATAATTAAGTGGAGCGATGCTGTTAAGGTAAGGAGAAACAAATGCAATATTTCTCACTACAAAAGAAGCTGAGTAGAATGGTTGGTAAAAAAAGAAAATCTGCTCACGTACTGAGGATGACAGGAGGCTTAGTATCAGGGAGAAGGTGTCAGCCATAGCCTTTGGAAGCTTTGCAAAACTATGGTATTATAGATTTATTAGACAGAACAGTGTTATGCAGTGTACTGCATTTAAAATATTTCCGTGTACTGTACTGAAAGTGGACGTGTATTATTTCCTGAAAGAGGACGCGTTTTATTCCTGTCAGTCAGGCAGTGGCCAGGACAGGAGCAGATGAGAGGTGTTTAGTTCAGTAAGAGACGGGTGGTTGACGGGGTGAAGTCATCATGTTTGGGTGGTAGTTTGAGTAGGTAATTTTGGTAAATTTTCTTAGTGTATACTATGGGTGTTTGTGTCTAGCAGTTTTAAAGTATTTGTGAGTGCTTTATTTTATGTGGATTATTACCCAAGTGTTGAAGAACTTTTCCACCTCCATCAAAACTGTATTAAATATTACATTGTTTTCATTTTTATCTATTTTTTGGTCTTTTTCATCTGACACTGAAAGGCTAACAAGCACGTAAACATGCACATAAATAAGTATTTTCACATACATTTGTACGAAGGTTTACGGTATTTTGTCGACATTCTTTGTGAAACATGTAAATTTATGAAGACTGGACACGTTTGTGACACTTGTGGAGGACTGTGTCATGTGTACATATTCTTATGTATGAATGAATGTA